TACATAGTCAATTCACATTACGGTGTATTCTACGAAGCGCTTTGAGACATCTTGAAGACGTGATGGATCGCTATATCAAATGCAAGGATTATTATTATTATTATTGTACAAAATTGATGATGACTTAAGTGAAATCAACCAGTGATATTTTTCTGATAAAAGAGCCTGTCGGGACACTTATCCACTTTACATTTAACCATCCACTGATATGCCTCTTTATTAATGTCTGAACAATTATAAACAATACTTCAACAGAAGGAAGCTCAAACGTTACAATGTCAACTCTTTATGGTAAAGTAAGGGGAAATTTCAAATTCGTCTAATAGCCCTAAACCAAAATGGGAAAAGAATTCCTCTTGAGAAATTGTCCTGAAAAGGCACCATAAGAATAAAACAACTCAAACATTCAATGTCAATTGATCGCCTGGGTCAAAATTGGTGAGACTGTGATAGCCTGCGTCAAAAGTGCTCCAGGACGCTACCCCGCATGAAGGGCACTATTTAAATGTAAGTTGTTGGCGTTGTTGGTATTGTTGTTGAGACTCACCATTGACTGCTGGCTGGTTCAGAACTAAGGTAGTTTTGTGTCCTGAACACACACCGATTAAGAGTGCGATTGAGGTTTTCAAATTTCCCATGGATTCCGTACAGCGAAGGACATTTTGAAATAATTGTGCGTATTATTACAATTATTTTCAGAGAGATTAAAAAAAACTGCTGGCTGGTTACTGTAAAGATGTCTGTGTTCTTGCACAACCCACTAAAAGTCAATATCCTGTGGCTCAGTGGTTAGAGCACTCGCTTTGCAAGTGAGAGACCTGAGTTCAATTCCAGGCAGAGGGCGAAACCTTGGGCAAGTTTCCTTACTCCACAGAGCCTAATAATAATCCCTCCAAAAAAACAAAACAATAATAAATTGGTCATTTTCAATCCATATGACTGTTTGTGGGACATTGCTGTGCGCAATTGGCTGCCGCGTTCGCCCACAAATATACAGTCAATTCACTTTACAGTGTGTTCTGTGAAGTGCTTTGGGACGTCCTCCCGACGTGAAAAGCGCTATATCAAATGCAAGGATTATTATTATTATTATTATAATATCTTTTAGACCATTTTTGGAATGGTTTGGGATGATATTCTTGTCATTGAAGCAGTTAACAATGAAACCCATTTACAGAATGTGTAGCATTCTAACAGCAGAGCAGAAACGTTTCAATTTCACGAGCATTGATTTTAAATGACTTTTCGTCTTTGCTTGTTAAAATGTAGGTTTGTAAACTACCTTATCTTTTCTGGACTTCAAGAAGATAGGGAATGAGTAGTTTTGACCCAGTTCGTTCACTATAAAGCCAAAGAGACTGGATTCCTCTGGATAGGGTCTGATATTAGACGAGTGTGAATTCTGTGGTGTTGGATACACAGTGTGTGTTTGGTCTGATAACAGCAGTGCGTACTATGTCAATAAGTTCAAGCTGTATTTGAGGCATACAAAGTGGTCTGTTTGCACACAGTGCCTGCAAAGCTCAGTTGACAAAGGCACCTTTGTTTGTGGGACACTGCTATGCACCATTGGCTGCCGCGTTTCGCCCACAAAATACACAGTCAATTCATTTTACAGTATATTCTGCGAAGCACTTTGAGACGTCTTGAAGATGCGATAAGACTATATATCAAATGCAAGGATTATTATTATTTAGCTTTCTAATGAGTACCGGTTATGGGATTCAGTTACATTCTTTCAACTTCAAATCATTTCAAAATGTAGATGACTTTGAAAGGCAACTTGTATATATCTCAACCAAACTGTGTCTGAATTAAAACCTCTATTTTTGAAGTCCCATGATCTGTACATGTTCATGCAGTATATGAGAAAGAGAGAGCATCAAGGATGACTAAAATATAGTCTTCTGTGCAGCATTTAATCACCGTGCCCTTCAAACGTGTGTGAGTAGAGTGCAAAAGTAGCTATTTCAGAATGCCAACACCAAAATAATATTACTGCAGATGTATTCGGCATAACTGCTAAATATAAATGAAAGTGAAAGATTCACAAGAATAGGCCGTTGTAATGATTTTAAAGACTTTTAAAAGACTCTCTTAAGCAACAGCAATTTTGCATTACATCTATTCTGTTTTATTAAGTTGGACTGAATCTTACTCAGATATGAAATAATAATAATAATCCTTGCATTTGATATAGCGCTTTTCACGTCTTCTAGACATCTCAAAGCATTTCACAGAATATGCTGTAAAGTGAATTGACCGTATATTTGTGGGCGAAACGCGGCAGCCCACAAACAGTCATGGATTGAAAATGACCAATTTATTATTGGTTTGTTTTGGAAGGATTATTATTAGGCGTGTGGAGTAAGGAAACTTACCCAAGGTTTCGCCCTGGCTGGAATTGAACCCAGGTGTCTCGCTTGCAAGGCAAGTGCTCTAACCACTGAGGACTCCACAATTGTAAAGGAAGAATTAAATGTGGTGAATGATTCATATTTGTAATTGCCTAATACCTCTATCAAGCACGAGGAAACAGTATGGGACTTTAGACATTAAGCGGTATGCGGTGATGATGATGCATTTGTTTCTGCGAAGACAAAAGATCAATAAAGCTGTCATCGACACTTAAATTTAATCTTTCTGCACAATGCTCTGAAGGCAAACATCAGGGGGATGAAGGCTGATGTTACAGATTAGAGGGCAATACTCAAGGATAATTTTCTGGAGGCATCAATCAACAATGCAATGCAAGGCACTCAGCACTTACCTAAATGCAACAGGGGCAAATAATACAACAGCACCTTGAAACATATCAACAGGGAAATGAAAAGGGAGATCAACAATGAAAGTTGTGATTTGGAAAGCTTGAGGGAGAGGGTAAGGGCAATTATTGGGCAGAGGCTATAGAAGTAAGTCAAAAAGGAATTGGAGATGATCATAGGAACAGATGTAAAGGTTAAGGCCAATATATTCTTTCAATACCACCACCACAAAACTCCAGGCTGGGAAACCCTTATGGAACCCAAATGTTGTTGAACAGGAATTAGTAAAGACGGCTGTTTCTTGGAGGTTGTTGACAAATTGCGCACTAACATATCACTCCCAACATATTGTCGAAAGGCGCAAATATGTGTCGCAAATTAATTCTAAAATATTTAAGCTGCAAAGAGAGATCAGCAGGATTGTTTTTAGGAAAAGAGGAATTTGCAGCATTGAGCTTGACAAGAATTGACAACATGACTTTGGATAACCACAGATCTGTTCAGCATGACCTTTGGAATTTACACTTCACTTTAATCAACACATTCTTCAATACAAGAAACCACTGTATTCACCAAACATTACATTCAGCTTTATTACCAATAGTAATTGTAAGATGATTTCTCAGTTAGAGACTTACACAATGTTTTATGGACCAGTTTAATCTATTGCACATGAAGAAAAGAGCACAAATACAGTCAAATACAGTCAAACTATTTTCTTCTTAGATATGCATTAACTTACTGAACTGTGAAATAAAATAAAATGGCTTAAGACTCCAAAGCAACATTTAATTGCTAGTTTACATTTTGAATATCCACTGCATAACAATTAGACATAACTACAAACGTGGGCTACTTGGTGGTGTATGAGCTCTCCCATGAATACACAAAAGCTGCAAGAATATTTAGTTGTATACTATGTGCTGTGTGAGTTGCTTACATTTTAAGTGTGATTTACACACTTGACATCGTGCTAACAAATAATGAGAATAATTTGTAATAAATTTAATAAATTACTCTCCAATAATATTTCCTTAATATTAACATTCACAAAAAGCACATTATAAATTTGTCTCAAAAATCCTGTACTAATACACATTGTGCAGAACTGCCACATTTGGTTCATGATATTTCTATACAAACATTAACAATTTACATAGATCAGCTTTATTCATTCTAAAGTTCCCAATACCATAGAAAGTCATCTTCTCAGTTACAAGAATAGCGTTACAGTTAGATCTACTTGTGTGACCCATACAAAGACTTTTACCATTTGATCACTATTTTAGATTAATTGTCCTGTTGTCCTGTTTAGTTTGCAATACAAATTACAAATCATTTTCTTGCATTGTTAAGCAAAGTATTATGATTCAGTTACCCCAAATGAAACGAATAAGTAATTGAGATGCAAGTTAAATTTTATTCTAGTTATTCATGAAATCTCTAAAACTTCAAAAAGAAACAGTTAATATGTTTCCAGGGGAAGTATCTTTACTATTTTTCATTCATAGCTTGTCGCTCCAAAACTGCACCCAGGCTAGGCTAATACTATTACTATTCAGTACTTACTGTGTGTTATTTAGTTTAATCATTCACACAGGGTGACACATCCTCATTTATCCTCTCCTTCTGGTCTCTCTGTACATCCAGCGAACAGACACACACGTAGACTTCTACGCCTGTTCCCTATAAATCCACGAGAAAGGGCTCAACAGCAGGAGGACAGGAATGTTCACTGCTCATTACAAATGTCAGTCCTGGTGGAAGCAAGTAAGGAACTCCTAAAACCTTTTTGTTTCTTATTTCAATGAAACAGTCAGTCAAAACTCCAGCCAGTTGACTCACCATATCAGAATTGCCAACGCACTGAGTGACTGAATCACTTGTGCTGTGACTCTGAAAAGCTGGATGTTGACAAGACGGTTTCTTTCAAATGTAGCGGGCTCAGTCCAAGCTATGATACTGGGGGTTGCGGGGGGGGGGTCCTTATTTCTGATAGTTTCTGACACTGTTGGTGCCTTCCACTAAAAGAATTAGTAGGTTCTTTAGTTTTTTTTCCATAATATTGTTTGTTCGTTTTTTTTAAAAAATGACCAGGGATTGACTTTTCCCTTTGGGGATATTTAAGAGCATAAATGCAAAGGTAAAAGCACAGGGTCACTCAATCAATTTGCTGGGCAAATAGGCATCGAGTGTTCCTAAACAAATATCACACTACAGTATTGTCATCGTCGCTCAAGCGACACTTGTACTAGAGTCAGTACAAGAATGACTGAAGTTGCCTTGCTTGTCAGAAACAGGGTACCCATTGACATCCTCTTGCTCTGTCACGTCATGGTCGGGGCTTTCATGCGATGAATCTTTTATCACGTTGTAGTAAACAGGAACGTTATACGCAGTAGGTTTCTCCGCCCGTGTCTGTTTACATTTGCAGAGTTTCTTGAAGGCGGCTCGAAATTTCTGAGACATCAGGTTGTAAATGACAGGGTTGACAGCACTGTTCAAGTAAATGCTCATCCTGCAGAACAGCAGGAACCAGGTGTTCAAATAAGGCGGATTCATGAACGAATTGACGACCACTATTGTTCTGTAGGGCATCCACAGGAGGGCGAACAGAATGACCACCACTGCCAGCATTTTCGTGACCTGATAAAATGAGCCAGCGAAAAACAGAGACGGTTATCAATGGATCCTCATGTTAATTTGCAAAGAGGTTATTGATTCTTCTGACAATGCTAGTGAACCACAATTCGGAGAGATAATAGGCACCGTTACAGTGTGGAAATACCTGCAGAGGATGAGAATTTTTTTTTCTTTCTTATAAATAATCCTCGCGTGCAATGACTATGGAAGTGCCGACTGGTGACTGCACTCCAATATAACTCTGTGTGGGATTTTCTGGAATCATAAAATTATACAGCGCAGAAGGAGGCCATTCGGCCCATCGTGTCTGTGCCAGCTCTTTTTGAAAGAGCTATCCAAATGAATCCCACTCCCCCGCGCTCTCCTCGTAGCCCTGCAAATTTGTCCTTCCCAAATAATTATCTAAATTATAAATAGCTCCAATTAATGGGCTATAAAGGGGTTCCACAGCATCAGCAGAATATTTTGGCATACGAAAATGTTACAGCAAAATCTTTTCTTCGACTACTATCTGACAACGCTTTTGCAGGGCTCACTGGATGGTGATTGGGAATAGGATTTTTTTTCTCTCTTTCCCCGGATGGAGGATACCTAACATAGTTAATTCAGTGTAGATCATGAATCAAAACGTAGGACTTTTATAGTGTGTCTGTGTGTGCATGTCACACTGGGCTTTTAAATAATGGATCATAAGGAACCTGAAACATTCATACATTTCGGCGATTTAATTTTGATGAATTGTTAGTCATTCCTTAGAGACAGCCGAACAGCAGAAAAACTTTAACCTGGAATAATTACTAAAATATGAGTCTTTTCATGTGATTTTGAAATCTAACACTCTGAAGAACTGCTTTAACATTAAAAATGATTTACAACATTTATTATCTTGGAGACATAGCTGCAGGAATCATACTTTCCCAATATTTAATAGATAATATCTTGGATATTTACACATAACAGTTGTGATAGGAATAATGTTGAAACATTCCTTCTACCTGAGATAGATGACCCAATAGTTTTTGCGAGATGACATTAACTCTATTTCCCATTTATTAAAGTCTCAATTAGTTGGGAAATGAATTTGGTTTCTTGATGTATTTATATGACATATTGTAGCCAATTGGCAAACTGCCAGATGAATCCTAAGCTTTTGGTTTTACTTTAATTTAATCTAATGATCAAATGAAATATGTAGGGCATTGTTTCTTGCTTCGGCACCTTTATCAAATGATTTATAGAGTAACAAGATATTGTATATTCTAGTCCATTATTTTTCTGCTTATCTGGCTGTACAAAAATAAATTGGACAGCAAAATATTGCAGTGCTGGTCAATCCATTTTTCTTATTAATATTTAACCTAATTTACAAATTTTGGTTTTGTATCAAAATTACACTTTGACCTTTAAAGTCCAGACATAGACAAAAACACTAAAGATCAGTATTATACAACTTGATGATTCACCACACACATGAATGCACATAAAAAGAAAGTGGGGCATTTTTAGACTATAACTACAAAAAAAAATAATTAACCCAACATTATACATATATAATGTGTATACATTATACAGTTATATCCAAACTTATTTTTGGATTTGTCTTTTCAAGTCATAAATGATTTGAACATTACTTATTGTGGGTGTTTTGCCCACAAATATACAGTCCATTCACTTCACAGTATGTCCTGTGAAGCGCTTTAAGATGTCTCGAAGACTTGATAAGCCGTTATATCAAATGCAAGGATTATTATTATTATTATTATTTAACCAGCCTGCAAAGATAGTAAGTGTGACATTTCAACTTTGTTGAAAATTAAAATACAAATCTGCAGGCAGCGAATAAAATTATAGCGTTCTTTTGAAAGTGTGGTATAAAATGACACTTCAGACAGAGGATATGTATAAGTTTCTAACGCTATTATTTTTATGTGCATTCATAATGAACTGAGGTGAAGCATTGATTGACTCCATTTATGGCTCCTGTCTACCTCCTCTCCCCCACCCCACTCACCAACAGTAAATGTCAATCAAGATATGTATTTTTTTTACCTGAAGCAAATCCATTTCACATTCTCTATTAAAAAAATGATTATTATTACTTGCGTATCAATGAGGGTGTAAGACAATGAAAAAAATGGAGACATTGTGTTACATCACGTAAAAGTTCAGTCCTAGGAAGAGACGGTGTGAAGCAAAATGGTCTTGTACAAAAGAACGAGCAGTGCCTATTTCAGCATCCAATTCAGATTCAATGCAGAGACATTCACTGCGGTTGTCTTTGGGACGTTCTCCTGATGTGAAAGGCGCAAAACAAATTTAATTTGTTGTTGTTGTCGGTTAAACAATTCACTTATTAGTGTACAACCCGTCATCTGCCTGTTCGAGTGGACGTTAAAGATCCCGTGGCACTTTTTGCAAAGAGAAGAAAGTTTCTCCTGTCGCCCAGAATAAAATGGGTCACTCATTTTGTGGCTGGCTGCTGTGTCTCGCCCACAAAAATACATAGTCAATCCACTTTACAATATGTCCCATGAAGCTATTTGAGAGGTCTCAACGATGTGATAAGTTGCTACATCAAATGCAAGGCTTATTATTATTATCAAATTAGCAACTCTGGGATGTGGCAGACTTCTGAACTGTGATCTCAGCCCTTTCAATAAATATTTATATATCTAGTTACAGTGTAGATGGACAAACTGTAGTATAGCATTAAAGGGATATTGAAGGGATATGTATCCATAACAATAAAAACAAATTAATATGTTAAAGGGACTTTCTGCAAGGTGCCAAGATCTGTTCCCTGATACTCGTGTGATATTTATTTACTGCAACTTCATTCAGAAAAAAAGTGAACTTTTAAATTGGTTTCTCCTTTTCTCTTCAACTAATAGTTTAACTTGCATAGATCTTGCGAACAGCGGCTAAACTACTTCTAAATTCTCAAAGGGAACAATCCTTTAGGAACACGATTACTATTTGCAAGAATCTAGACTAGAGGGACATTAGACGCAATATTTTTATAGGGTGGGGAGAAATATCGCCATCTAGTGTCCCTCTTGTGGTTTGGAGTTTTTAAGATACCGTAGTAAGGAAGAATTTTCCACTGCTTAAAAAAAATTGTCATATTAATTCAGAAGAGATGCGCATATAGTATTTCAATGCGGCAATTGTTTTTAAATCACCACAGCATCACAGGAGACACATACATTTTGAAGACGGTTTGCAAGTACCACATTTTCAACGACTGTATTTTGAGAAGTACAGAATTCCGGAATTGCACTACAGAACTTTTTTTTTTACTGAAGAATAAATAGAGTCTCGTAGTTCCTTAAATGCTCGTCATTTGCAATTAGAAACCTTAGTAAGTATCGGACTGACCAAACTCTTTGGGTTTCATTGAGTGGATTCTAATCATCACCAATCTGTAGAAATCAGACAAGGATTCCTGCCATACTTGGGGGAAAGACAATTTGCTTGTAAATTATGATAACTAATTGAAACACATTTGATCCCATGTTACGTATTTAGAGTCAATTGTGTAGTAGCTCTTAAAGCATCTTAAAGACTTAAGATCTGCCAACTTGCAATTTCTATGTTAGCCCGTTACATTTCTAGCTGAATTGAAAACATACAATTGTAGAGTTGATTAATTAATGAATAAAAGAAACATACAATTATAGCATTGTAAACAGGTGGAGCCATAAAAAAAGTGACCATAAAAAAATTGGTCCTTGTCCTTGTCCCTAATTGACGGTTTCCATTAAGATAATCTAAAAAAAGGAAAAGAAAGGTAATTAAAACAAAGACATTTTTTTGAGGTTCCCGGGGGGCGGTAGGAGGTGGGGAAGGGGGAGTTACCTGTTTCCTTGATGACTGAGCGTTCTTGTTCCGATGACAGGACATCTTGATGGTGTTGGAGCTGCGGCCCTGGTGAATTGAGTTGTTGCCCATCCTCTCGGTGTCTTGGGGTGTGGTGGGGATGGGGTTCAGGAACAGGATCCGAGCGATGAGTCCATAGAGAACAGTGGCGAGGAACAAGGGAATCACGTAGTAGATGGTGAAGTCCAGAAAGTAGATGGGCAAGTAATGGTTTCTCGAGACTTTATAGTCACAGGCCACACGGACACCGTCAGCATACAGGACCTCCTTGATGTCCAGCAAGAAGAACCACATGACGCAGTACACTGACGTGAAAGCCCACACGAAAGCGATGATCTTCTTGGCTCGGGACACGGTGCAGATGAATTGGGCTTTGATGGGGTGGCAGATGGCAATGTAGCGCTCAATGGTGAAGGCGGTGATGGAGCAAGAGGACGCGTTGATACCCAGATACTGGAGGTAGGTGATGAACAGGCAGCCCGTGTATCCGTACACCCAGGTGGCAGCCACGCTCTCGGTGATGTTGGGCAAACCAGCTGCCAGGAGCACGATCAGGTCGGCTATGGCCAGGCTGACCAGGTAACAGTTGGTGGGAGTTCGCATGTGTTTGGTTTTCAGCACCACCAGGACCACCATGATGTTCCCAGCTATTCCAACTCCGCAGATCAGCAGCACTAATAGTATGGTGACCACCTGGTACTGGAGGGAATTCTGCGGCATCCTCTCCATGTCCTGGGTCTGGTTCATCGAGCCGTTCAGCAACTGCATCAGGCTGGGAAGGGATGTGTTTTCCATGGCTCTGCTGTCTTAAGGACTTCTTTGACAATTGGTAACTGTGAGCAGTCTCTGCTAACAGTCTCTGCTCTACTGAACCCTGCGTTAAAACAACACAAATGCAGATCCCACACCATTAAAACTACTCCACACATTCAAATGAACAGTTTTTTTTTGGGGGGTGGGGGGGGGGGGATGAAATCTAGGGTTCAATGTTGTTCTCTGTTAAAGTGAAACATGGATAAAACTAATTCCCCATAAAAAGCTGGTTATTAAGAATCTCCCTTGCCTTTCCTTCTCTTAAAACCAGTACAGAACCCCTTTCCCAACACAATTCATTCATTCATCACACACTGAATTACAAGAGCTATTGCTCGAATCCAGGCAAAATTCTAACTTCAGAAAGACACCGACTGGCAAGTTAGTTTAGCTGTAAATATTCCACAGGTAATTTGGGACAGAGAATTGTTGTCCAATTTTTCCAAGGGTTAATTTTTTTCAATTGAAAGAAACACACACACACACACACACACACACCCTTGGACAGGTTTCTTCTTCTTATCTCTTAAACACTCATATACAATTGATATGTTCAATGGAATAGGGAGTTATCCAAGAGACAATACCTGCTGTTAGGACATTTCCCTAGTTTCCTATGTGCATAATATAAGTGCACAGTATAAGCCAATACTCTGCTGCATCCACATACAATACACAGTGAACCAATTAGTTAGGAATGTGCTACATTTGTGCCATTTTAAGGACTCGCAAAAAGGATGATATACATCTATATGGATAGTTAGAAAGATAGAGTTTTGGAACTAAAAATGGATATCATCACTTACTTCATCAGCAGCAGGTTTCAGTCCATGGACTTATTCGTGTGTTTTTTTTTGTCAGGAGCCAGAGGCAATCTGCAGTGGCTCAGCAAGTGTTGGGAGATGCAGTGTGGCGAAGTGGTTGCCTACATCTCGCACTGTAGGACAGGAGGAATACTGAATGGTACTGGAGGAGCAAGTACAGGAGATCCTGTCCAATGGAACTGCTTCAGCAGACTGCAGAGCACAGAGGGCTGCAATCCCAGGTCCTAATGCCTTCCTGCTCTACACACTCACTTACTCACTCACTCACTCACTCACTTACTCACTCACACACTCACAGTGAGTGACTTTCCTAAGAAAATCTGCTTCGTCAACAGTAACTCACGCTGAGCGCTGAGCTGTCGTACGCCGTATTTGACAGTTTAAGCCACCTTTAATGAAGCAGGTTCTTCTTTGCTCCCACTTGCGTCAAAACGTCTCAACGGTGCTTCAGGCGAAATTAATAATAAAACAAAAAGGTCCTCGCGTTTGATATGGAGCTTTTCAGGTCTTCCAGACGTCTCAAAGCGCTTTGCAGGAAATACTGTTACTGTAAAGTGAATTGATTGTATATATTTGTGGATGAAACACAGCAGCCAATTGCGCACAGCATTGTCCTACAAACAGTCGTGCATGGAAGTGACCAATTTATTGTTGTTTTTATTTCTTGAGGGGTTATTATCAGGCGTGTGGAGTAAGGAAACTTGCCTGAGTTTTTGCCCTGCCAGGAATCGAACCCAGGTCTCGCTTGCAAGGCGAGTGCTCTAATTACTGTCACGTGTGTGCTTTATAACAATAATAACCCTTGCATCTCATATAGCGTCTTATCAAGTTGTTGAGATGCTGTGTCTTATTCTGTCCTATTTTGTGGGTGCAAAATGCTCACAAAATAAGACAGAATAACATGCAAACACAGCAGTAATAACTTTCTAGGCTGCGTAGTCTAATTTTGGCGCATTTAGTAATGAGCTATTATACTTTTTTTTCCAATATTATCCTATAAAGCAACTTCGGGTGAAGCACTTTGCTTCATTTAAAAATGTGACCATATGTTTAAATGGATATGCAACCTGTTGCCACTTGTGCTGATTACATGTTGTATATCATTCCTTGTTATAGTTCCCCCGAATTGCTGTTAAATGGGGACTTTTACTTTATATTGAAACATCATAAAACTAGCTAGCTTGTATCACGGTGGGATAGGGATATGCACTTAACATTCAAAGCACTTGTTCCTAGTTTTTATTCCTTTAGTATTTTATTAACTTGACTGTGGGACAGCTAGAATAGTCCTCATCAATTATTAACTGCATGTGGATCTTAGATTAAAGAAAATGCTCAAAGGGATACAAGCCTTGTGTTTTGTGTCTGTTGTATAATGAAGATATCTGACTCCACAAGTAGATGAAAGGATAGAAGAGAATTTAAAAGAAGAGAGAGTTCGAACAGAATCTGGAAAAGATAGATGTTTGCCTTCGTCAGTCAAAGGTCTTGCTGCTCCACTGCTGTGTTTGCGTGTTATTCACTGCTGCAATTCATTCCAATGCTAAGGCCAGAAGAATTTGCTGGATGAAAGAAGACCAAGGTCTATCTAGATCCCCTTCCACCATCCTGGCAGTCGCTTGACATGTCCTGTCCCCAAACTATATACTCTTTTTAAAGCCTTAGCTACGTCCCAATTGGGCATGTAACAAATTTGTTATTCACTGAGTCAGCTTGGTTCAGACGGTGTTCTCTCCTCTACGTCAGAGGTTGTGGATTCACATCTCACATCAGAATTCTGTGCTCATAGCCTAAGCTGACCCTCCAACACAGTGCTGGGGTAAGGCTGCCTTATTGTAAATGCTGTCCTTAATAATAATAATAATAATAATAATCCTTGCATTTGATATAGCGCTTTTCACGTCGGGAGGACGTCCCAAAGCGCTTCACAGAACACACTGTAAAGTGAATTGACTGTATATCTGTGGGCAAATGCGGCAGCCAATTGCGCACAGCAATGTCCCACAAACAGTCGTAGATTGAAAATGACCAATTTTTTTTTTTTTTTTTTGGTTTTGGAGGGATTATTATTATTGTAAATGCTGTCCTTCAGATGAGACATTAAATTGAGATCCCTTTCTGCTTTTTCGGGTAAATGTTAAAGATCCCACGATATTGCTCAAAAAGAGAAGTCAGTTTCTCCTGATGTCCTACCCAGCAATCCTTTAAATAAAAATTTAAAATAATGGTTTCAAGGCTTATTGTGGGAGATTTTGCTGTGTGATAAAATTGGCTGCTACATTTGCTATTAATTCATCACACTCTACAGGAAACTCTCTAAAGTGCTTTGAGATGTTCAACATGATAAACCACTGGATAAAATGCTAGGATAGTTATAAATTTTGCTTTGATTCCCCTTGGTTTCCACATCAAATCAACATTGAAGTGCAGCACAACAGCGGTTTCACATGGAAGAACTGGCATAAATTTATATTTAACTTTGAATTTTTCTTATGGATTTGGAGTAAACCATTCAGTTACAGTAGGACAGTAGGAGACCTATGGCAAATAACTAGCTGTGAGGTTGAAAGAGATTATTTCTTCTGAATTTATTAAATATATTTCACGAACGATTAAGGTTTAAAATGAGTATTGTCCTTTCGGGATGTCATGTCCCAGATTAGGTAATTGAACAGTGAAGCAAAAGCTAGTTAATGATGTAAGAATGTAGCTTGGATATAAGGTTAGACTTGCAAGTTTACTTAAAACGTTCTGGTATACGTTTGTATCACTTTTTGCACCAAAGTCAGCAAAGATTGCTATTGCGCCTGAAATTCCACAAGTTTATTAACAAAAACTCAGAGAAGTCAGACTGGGTTAGTGAAATCTTTACAAAATACAGCCAGACAAGACAATAGGAAATATTGTGGTGATGTCAGCATTTTTTTTCCATAGGTCCCATATTATGCTTTAATTTATACCTTACTCTGCTGTTATTAAAAAATAAAAGCTGCACTGGAGTGCTTATCCTTAACATTTTTGGGCAACAAAGTCCGTTTCCTTTCAGTAAAGTGATAAATTCTCTATATGGATACAGTGGCGTTAGAATTATTATCTAATAAAAATCCTGATTCCAAAATGATGGTTCTGCCAACTTTAGAAAGATTTGCTAAAATGCACAACAGGAAACGAAAATGTGTTACTTACAGCTTGTCAAGGGAGGCTGTAGATATTATGCACTATTATTTATTATTATTATTGTTGTGGGAGTTTTTTTTATTATTGTCTGAGCTCTTTTAAATGACATTAATTTGCTAAAAAATACAGTCACTACTCTTAACAATAAATACTGTGAAGCACTGAAACATCCTCCTGGTGTGAAAAGCCCTATATCAAATGGCAATTGAGATAGTGCCTTATCACGTTGTGAAGACATCTCAAAGCACTTCACAGGATAAACTGTAAAATGATTTTGACTACATTTTGTGGGCAAAATGCAGCAGCCAGTTTGCACTCAGCAATGTCCCACAAAATAGCCATGAAGTGAATGATTAATTATCATTATCGTTGAAGGTTGGGCGTTACTGTGATCATTTTTTCTCTTCAGTTATTAAAAAATATAAAAGTGAGGCAGCTTGTTCACTTGATAGGAGGGTAGGTTTTGATCTCCTATAGAGTTCCTGGTTTCTGATGTGCTGCACAGGAGGGAGGCATCATGTCTACTGTTCATCTTTCTTCAGATTAGATTCATCTTCCAATATGACATCTGGCAGATTAGTCAGAACTATTTATTTGCCGTGATTTGTGAACGGCCACTATTTGCACAGAACAACATCTCTTTAAAATTGCAATATCTCCCTTGCCATCCTGCGTTTTTCAACAATAATCAATTCCATACATTTTGTTATATACAAAAGGGTTTATCTAGTCTGGCAAAGCAATCCTGTCTGAATACCATACCTTCTTCGTACAAACCTTAAACTCAGAAGGCTGCTGGCTGCTGTGTGTGTTTTAATGCAGTGCAATGAATTATTACACGTATTGTTGACATTTTACAGAAACTTTAAATTAGTTTTGATCCCCTGACAAATGAAATAAATCACTTACGCTTACACTTTATGGATTGATCAAGCAAAATGCTAACTCAGAATTCAAATAAAACGATGCACACAGAGGTGA